TCATCGCCAGGATTGAGCTTGTAAGAATGCAGTACACTGATATGACCTGGGTTACTTGGTACAACTTCAAAGTATTTATATTTTGTAAGGAGTCCGAAGAAGACTACTTCAATTTCAACTTTCCTTTCACAACTTCTGCATATAGTTCTCATCTACACGTTCCAGTCTCCTATACTCGAAAGGAAGTGAGGATTAGACATTTATGTAAGACCGAAGCTCTGATAGTTCACAGTTTCAAATCTCAATTCTATATTGAAAAAAAACATGTGCAAACATTCTGTTTAGTCCAACTTTAGGTAAATACTCTGCTCTCTTGTTTCACTATAACTTCTCTATTTCATTGATTTATTTTAACTAGTTACCAAGTCTTACTATCTAATGTATTGTGTAAAAAAATGGGAATCATTTCTTGTGTTACTTAATGTTACTCTATTCTCTCTATACAACCATCGATTAAATCTAAACATCGACTGGAACATTCGATCACTTCACTTATACAGTTGTGAAAATGAGTCGTCAAAAAGACAATTATCTTTCGTGTAACCACCCTTTTTTTTCATTGAGTAGATGGGGGTCTGAAACTTATTCAGATTTATTCAACCATCAGTAAGCTCAAACGTCAGCAACTCGACATCTACTTTTCACTTAGACAAGTCTCATTTTTGATGGGAAAATTGATAGATGGAAACATGGACATCGTTGCATATCCAATGACCTTTTCCTCAAAATGCTTATGGATGAGTAGTAAATCTTCTTGAAATAAGAGTTTTTGCCATCTTGTGGTAGTTCACCTGCTCATCCGGCTTCAACTCCTGATGCATAGAGCTTTTGACATCCGTCTAATCGGTCTGATGTTGACGCTCAGAAACGACCAGAACACTCATAGTCCGAGCTGCAAATATTTCATTATTTCTTTCTCTTGAATTCTTTAAAAAGACTTGATAATGTATCAGTCAGTTTACGTTATTTCTCAAATTATGCCATCTGTATGTATTGAACGAGGTGAGAATCAGTTGGAATTCTATGCCAATTAATTCTACCTTCTCAGCTTCGCTAACAGCAATTCCTCTGGCACTTTGAAGATTATAACAACCGGTAATTTTTTTCAACCCAGTTACTCATATTATGTAGAACAAGTATGATATGCGAAGATGATGAGGTTGTAGGCTATTTCACTACCAGTTTCTTGTTGTCCACTATGTCCTGAATGCTGACCGAACTCTACCGATCATTCTGTAATGTGGCCACGAACCTAGGAGGCTCACCATGACTGTGCACATTGATCGTTGTTAGTTGGAGGCAACTGGCAAGTTGCCTTGCCTGGCTTAGGTTTTGTGTTTGTCGGTACTCGTCAACAAGGCATGTCTGCAATCTCTACCGAACTGATGTTTCGCCTGAGATTTGAAGCAGAACCACCCAGTGTGTGGTCAGTGATGTTCTCACTGAACTATGTGGGCCACGATTCACCTCCTACAGCACTTGGTTATTCCTGATCATTTCAAATTTCGCCAACATTATCGCCTCTACTTGCAGATATTAATACCTTGGTATACTGTATGTAGTAAAGTAACGATCATCTTACTGACAAATAGATCAAGTTACCATGATTGGAAATGATCAGAATGCTTCACCGTTTTCAGGTATGCGTTGACCATAAAGATATGCTGTATGAAATTGATATAATGGAATGCATGGCTAGAGCATTGAAGAATTCATTTGTGGTTTGCATTCTCCATTCACCTTCTTATAAGGAAAGCTTGAATACAACATGTAAGTTAGTCGTCAATTGTACTGTTGAGATGGGAAGGAGCGGCAGTTCAACAACCACAATGACGCCAGAAGTTGTAAGGTAAAATGATTCTTTGACAAGCTATCTGAATGTCTGGACGTCAGTAGATGGAGCAGGGTTCACACCTGTAATCCACTAGTGGAAAGCCTAGTATCTAGACCACCGAGGTACGATTCGGTAACATAATTACTACGTGTTTTGTGCAATTAATTCTGTCGTATGTTCTTACAAAATGGAATAGACTTAAATAAGTTGAAACAGTCTCTACACAAACATATGACCATCTTCATAGAAAACATTGACTAATCTGCATAATAAGATAAGTGTATATCTGTGGAGGTTTATCTTATAAAGTATAACTAAATTTCGTGGGCCACTATGAAAGTTCTCAATGTTCAACTGTACTGTCTACAGGATTTCTGTTTACAGCAATCGATAAGGGAGACTGTGGGGTTGTGTTCTATGATGCAAAAGTGTCGTGAACCACTAAAATATATTACTAAACAACTTGAGTATTTACAGATCACACATGCTTATGTAGAGGTCTCGCTAGTCCACATTGACCACCAATACAGTAAGACGATCGAAACAGACGTCAAATGATCATATCACTCTGATGTCAGTCAGAAAATTGACAGATCAAAATAAGCTGAGAAGTTTGTAGCCACTTGCATTTTGATGAATGTAAGAGTAAAACTCGGTTATTGTGGTAGACTACATTCCTACACAGTATTATTTACTGGATGACGACGTCCCCAGCAGACTTTACCGCTCAAATTCACGTCAAAGTAATCATACGAAGTTCAACCTTCAACACTTCTGCATTATTTTATCTTAATGATGGTAAATTTCTCTAGATATCCTCAGTGTGTTATGAATCAATCTTTCCTGTTACATGTCAGTGTGTTGATCCATTGAACACAAATTCTGAGATCAATCTCTACCTCCACCCAACTGTATTGGATTTAAGGATTGTTAGCATATCCCATCCACCCACTCATTAACGCATAGTGTGATTTTGGGTCAGTGCATTTACAGCGATGGCCGAGATTTCCTCTATACTATTTATCTTACTGGGATCTATCATTGTATGTTTCGTGCTGTGCCATTCCAAATAACATTGATAATTTGCTTTGACTTATACACTTGACCTCATAATCATCAGATGGTTTTCGATAGATAAGGTTATTCTGAGCAATTTGCTCTACTGTATAGTTTCGCCTAAACTTTCCCTTGACACCTACGGTATGAGACATGTGATGTCCAATATATATGTTTTAGATTTATAAAAACAGTGACAATAATGTGAAGGAATCTACGTTCCAGTTTCCACTTTTCGGCTGACATAACAACTAAGACAAAACAACCAAACTCCCTTTGATTCTTTTCATGTCGTCATCACTACACCTCTAGATGTAGTGGCATTACATTGCAAATTCCACGCTCACACTACACTACTTGTCTCCCCTTCCCTCCCAATCAAACGGAAGCGATGACAGACAATTGGCCTGTTTCAGTCAATTTGTTGTTCATCGAAAAGAGAATCATGGTGCCTGTCCAAATCGATACACACGCATCAACATAACGGATATATATATATATATATATATATATATATATATATATATATATATATATATATTCGGCGGCCCGCTTGAACCTTGGGCTACCAAATTTATCCATCGAACATTTCTCATCACATACTTTCTTTTCAAATTGTTTCGATCGTTTCAATATGTCCTTTGAACGTATCATGTACTCTTGCACATTTTTAAAACCGTTTCCATCTCTCCATTTCTCAAGTCAGTAACAAAGCAGAGGAAAAATGTCACGTTATATGGAAATGAACTTTTCGGTGCAGAAAAGTATATCATACTTCTATCCGTCATCTGCTTGGCTTCAGTTGCAGATTTTTGTATCGTCTGAGTAAACCACCACCACTAAAATTACACTCGCATTTCTGTCTATTCTTCATTATGGAACGGATGCCCATCTAAAACCAGCTAGCTATTTGACATTATTGCCTTGAATACTTTTATTATTAACATCATTCAGATGCAATAACCATTTCGTCTGAAAATATTGTTCTGGGAGTAAATTTGTTGAAAAACTACATGCTGAGAATTTTATACTGTCATACATATTGTTTGGAATTAAGTGATTATTATTATTATTATTATTATTATTATTATTATGTTCTCGTGCCTCATTGATGTGGTGTTGAAACCAACCTAACTGAAATACACATATATTCAAACAGCACAATGAAATGTTTTACTCCTCTACATATCCCATTCAACCCACTGATCCCAGTTGAACTACACATATCTATCTAACTGTATTCACCATCATATTCATTCAGTGATTCTGCAAACAGTCACTTGTCAAATCAGTGAGAGAATTATTTCTCCTTCATATGGAAAAGCTTGAAACGTGTCATTTTACACGTCCTATCTATCTCTCATCAAATTGTCAATTCCCTCCTGTCGGGACAATTAGTTAGTTAGTCAGCGAATTTACTGATTAACAGCAAACACTGATGCAAAACATCACGCCTCCTCTCCCATTTCCCACCCCCTTCAGTCAGTCAAGTACTTTCCAAACTCCCTTTGTAACTTACAACTGACCAATCAGACTATTAGTACCTTTAACGTTTTGTTGTGAATGCTTTGCACCTGAAAACTGGTGGTTTTGATATACTAGACAACCGATAGCCAATCTGCGACCGCCAATATACGATGGTAGTTGTATTTTATGTAGGTGTCAAGTCAGCAGTGGTATAAAATACTAGTCAATACACGTGTTTCACTGCAGCATTGTTCGCCACCAGTTTAAATCTTAGGCAGGACATCACAGATCCGTCGAGGTTGCAGACAAAAGCTTTCCAGAGGGATGCTGAAAAGCACGAAACATTAGGTGTAGCACGGCTTCCTGTCGATTCCTTCATTCCAACTACTAACACATAGAGAAAGATTTTAACAAAGACTATCAATCACCAACTTTTCATTTCAAAACATTCTCATCATACAACATTGGGAACAAACGTTAACTGCCATCTCTTCCATTCATCACATATTCAGTAATTAGCCAATACAAATTGCGACCAAATTTTACACGTCTATCAGTAATAATCACAAATTATTACAGTGAAGATAAATTTATTTCTGTTTCACAATACACAAATAGAAATATAGAATACCAAGTGTCATTATCATGTCTCTAGGCCTCTGTCATCCATTGAGATTATAAAAAGAGGAAAAGTAAATACACGATTTTGGTGGGTTACAGAAAACACGAATGAGACGGAGAATTGATGAAATTCTTCAGAAAAAGAAAACAGAGAAAGAAGCGATTTCGTTAGATGTGGGTATAATCATCGTTCATTCAAATATGAATGAAACAAATATACAATACACAAGGCTGTACACTGAAGAGGCACTCCTGTAGTTACAAATCTCATTGAATATGCTTTGAAGTCTTAATGAAACTTATCTAAATTCATGTCGGTAGTCAATCATTGATGACAATTATTTTTCGATACTGGGTGATGATTTAAGGTAAAATGAAAATCTGGGTTACAGTGGGATTCGAACCAACAACCGCCGAGGTTCAAGCCCTGTGATCTACTTAGTTACGAGACCCCACTGCCAATCAAATACTTTTTACATTACTTCGATCACCAATGGGTGTTTTACCCGACAGCCGTGTGAATTCGTGACGCTTTACCTCCAATTGGTTGTACTCATACTAGCTGCCCAGTCAAACAGTCAGTCAACTTTTTATCGTAACCCCAATGTAACTGAGGGGGAGTATTATACTGATTATCATTTTAACTATCTTAAATACCCGTGGATTTGTAGATCCAGTATCAACATCAGAATACCACTGTGATGCTCCCCACCTCTCTTATCTAAGTAGAAATGGCATGACAAGGCAAAAATTCAGGTAAACACTCGATACGTTGGCTTATAACGGTCAAATATTGTATTCAAAGGGAGAATCTGATACGACTTTGAGGAAAATAGACATTCGCTCAACCTTTTGTTTTTTCAATGTTCCCATAGAAATATTCCGCATACTGAAAGTTAGTTTAATATCTTCCTAGTTCACTCAAACCCGTAAGCTGCCACAAATCACACACAACCTATTTCTTCCTCGAAATGTCGAAAAGTGGAACGATTCGATGTGTTAACTGAGGAAGTTTCTACTCTCTCAAGTAAAATGTCAGATGACATTGTTAGCATCTAGACCCTGGATACCGGTACCCGGCATAGAGTCACTCAAGTGAACTGCTGAAAGATCTCAACCAAAGTTATTCATTCATTATGAGTAGTATTTGTCAAAAACAAGTTACTACTAAGTGAATATTCCCAGCTTGACTGGTCCACATGATCAGGTTATCCTCCATAGATAAGCCAATTGATAAAGGGATGCTTGAAAGTTGAAGTTTGGTATGGACAAAAGAACATGCCGATCTCTTATCAGTATATACAGGGAACTCAATACTTTAGTAAGTAAGGAAACAAGATTTACAGCAGCAATTGAGAATAACAGCTGGAAATTATACTTAACTTTATAAATGAAACAGATAACCTGGATTTTTCAACAGAATAATGTGCAACACAAAACAATCCCACATCTTTTACGTATCTCTAATTAACCTATGATATGATTCCCGACTGATAGCTGCTACCTTGACGTGGTGGTCGGGCTTGGATATCACAATGACCCAACAAGCTATGCTAGTGGAACACTTGTTTTCTCGAGGTCCTACCACACCAGAAAGGTCTGTTGGATAGTGGTTAGACGAAAAGCAGTTACCGTTATAGTGTAAATTGCTACACTATGATGGGGGTATGAGGGCGAAGTCGTACTACTGCTAGCTGGATGGGGTGTAACAGAAGTAAGGTGTTTCCCTTCGATGACCAGCACTGCCATGCTGCCTTCTCAGTGGGAGGGAGGGTGGTTAGAAAAGGTCGACCCCAAAAATAACACATAGTCTGCCGGGCCGGCGGTGTCGGTTCATTTGTCGTTTCTCTTTGACCATCCGGCCTAAAACAACAAAAATTCAAAACAACCATACACAAAAGGCTACGTGTGACAGGCCTCAAGCAGATGTCCGATGGGCTCTGTGGTCACACAAAAATCTCTTTCAGATACCTTAAGAAGAAATAGCCTTCCACGGTGTGGGCAGCCGGAAAGTGTCAACCGCCCTCACAACTCTATCAGCACTCAAGTTTCCTCAGACTGCCATCCACCTCCCCATCATTACCTTCTAATCTTCCTTGCCGTCTCTCAATTAACGATACTACACTATCCTCGATTTCTCCTGGCTCTGCAGCCTTTGACAGCTATCTAAGTCCACAAAACAGCATCCTTGGTCTCCTTAAACCACGCTCCAAATTACATATTGGAGCCTTCAATGTCCGCACCCTCCGTCAAATTGGTCAACAGGCTTTGTTGGCAAAGACTCTAGCAACTTGGGGCATAGATGTGTGCTGTAATTGTGAGACACGCATACAGGACCTAGGTGCGGTTATTCACCTAACCTATCCCAGCCAATCTGTTGAGTCCGCGAAATTCACCCTTCGATTTTCTGGAGATTCGTTAGCTAGTTCTCGCGGTCTTCCAGGTGTAGGCATAGCATTAAGCACTAGGGCAGAAAACTCACTACTAGACTGGATCCCAGTTGATAGTCGCCTCTGAGCTATCCGACTGAACGGCACAGTGAGAACTAAAAGGAACAGTGAAACTTGCCATTGTCTCTTTGTAATCTCTGCTTACGCACCCACTGACTGCAACTCGGATGAAGTGATGGACGAGTTCTACCGTAAACTGTCTAGCCTCCTCTCGAAAACCAAACGTTTGGACGTGATGGTTGTTGCAGGTGACTTCAATGCACAGGTGGGTAGACCGAGTGAGGCAGAAAGGCACTTTCGGAATCCCGACTGAACGTATAGATAACGGTGATCGTCTACTACAACTATGCTCAGATAACCGCCTATTTTTAGCCAGCACCAATTTCAGACATCAAGAAAGACACTGTCTGACGTTGCGTTCACCGAGCTCAACTCAGCGATGGACACAGATAGACCACATTGCTATTAGTCATCGCTGGAGAGGGTCGGTGGAAGACTGCCGCTCCTTCTGGGGTACATGTTTGGATAGCGACCACGTGTTGGTCAGAGCGCGCATATGCCTGTGTCTCAGTGGACATAAGAAAAATGTGTCAACAAAACCACTACGAGTGCTGCTGGACAACGAAAACACCAAAGCCGTGTTCATTGAGAAGTTGGCTAGACAGTTATCTCTAGTCTGCTGTAAAAGCAGCGTTGAAGACTGTAGCCGACTCCAAAATAGTGGCTGAAAAGAGCCAGTGGATATCAGCAGCTTCTTCCGAACTAATGGATGCACGTAAACGCATCCCTGCAGGCTCTGAGTACAATGAACAGCGAGCGCAACTTAAAAGTAGATTCGGAAAAAGTCTACGCAACGGCCGCGAACAGTGGTAGGCAGCAAAGACTAAAGAGATGGAAAAGGTGGCGGCGATTGGTGGCCTCCAGCTACCATTGCGTTGCCCGCTATCCAGTCGGATCCTGAATGGAACATTGAGATAGGCCCCCCAAACTAGAAGTTGAGAAAGCGGTAGGTAGTCTGAAACGAGGGAGGACACCAGGACCAGACGAACTAACTCCTGAGGTATACAAGGATGGTGGTAGTCAGGTTAACGGAAGTATTAACTAGTATGTGGGAGTCAAATACGATCCCCTTTGACTGGTCTAAATCACTGATTATCCCAGTCTTCAAGAAAGGCGAGAAGTCCTCTTGTGATAACCATAGAGGAATAAGCCTGACGAACATAGTATCTAAGATTCTAGATTCTATAATTCTTCGACGATCAGTTTAACAACAAGGAATTCTCCTTATTGCTTTAATCCATCCTTGTGCGTACTGATCACCTGTGATGTCGACAAGGCGTATGCATATTCTGCATAATTCAACAACTCACACAAACAATTACGCGTCGTACTTTTCACTTTTTCTCTACAAACTCGAATCACACTTCTACATAAATGAGGAATCCAATTCACCAGACCATGTACAAATGTTTAAGCTAGACAACTGGTTGGTTACATAAATTTTGCGCGAGTTCATTATACTGTCTGGTTGTTCGAACCCCAGTAGTAGTTCGCACCCAAGTACTCATTCTATACAATTTTATGTAGTCTAATCTACACACTTACAATGTGATAGTCGATGACACTATCCACCCCGGTGTCATGTATATTGATTCACTCAACTTTCAAGTTACAACGTCGACGTCAAGATTTGTGCGGCTGCCAACTCTGCAATAGGTGTATCTCATAATATGGCGCAAAAATGTCCATGATGTTGCGGAGTTATACTATCATATTATTCTTATTTTCATAGTCATCCAGATTATAATACAGTCGTGAGCTTAAGTTAGTACTTACTCTTATAACAAGAAGTGAAAGGAGAAGAAATAGGCAGATAACTCACTTATACAAAAATTAAGTAAGTTAATTAACATTCCATCGTAGTTTATTATCTGTCATGATGTCAGACTGTTTCTTTTCTAGCTCTTCAACACGTTCTTGTTTCTTTCGAACCCTTTCAGGATCCGCAATCCCACGTGATGTGCTTTCAGCTAATCGACGTTCAGCAGCTTCTGCTTGTAACTGTCTACGTGTCTCTGGATCGACAGGTGTTACACCACGTGCACCACTTGAATACGATTCATATCGAATCTGTGAATTCTCCTCATCCGATGAACGACGAAAACAGCAACACAAACGTTCACACTAAAGGAGAGAAGGATATCTGGTTAAAGATGCAGAGAATGGTACAAGGGATGAAAACTTAGTTCAGCAATGTATGATGATAAAAATCTCGTTGAGATTTCTATTCCTAAGGTGTATGACTAATCTACAACCATGCAAATTGGATCATCAGCACACAAAAACTTTCATTTTGATAATTTGGATATTGAAATGTGGTTTGGTAATGAGTACAAATGAACACACTATGGGAAAACAAATTTTATGCAAAGTAATTGAAATGAGGTGGATTTCTCAAACAGTCTTTTAGAAACATCATGAATCTATGACAAGAACTTTCGTTCAGTCTAAGGACGCCCATCAGCAAAACGTACCTTCAACCTTCAGAGACTGACGTCGTCTCACAGATCTCAACCCGTGTAATCAGAGACACCGCCAGTGAACTATTTCCTCCTCCCACCTATGTTTAACCATATCATCAAAAATTGACGCTGGCTCGCACATAAGTCTCACTGATGGACTCTGTCAAAGCATGAAATCTAGGCCCAGGACTTTCTACCTTGTGGCATCCTCCTACTTCATATGCACGTTTCGTATTACTTGAAAACAACCTATCAAGACAAGTCTGAAAAACAATGAGTGTAGGAAACACATAGCCGAGGTTATCTGATATGCCTACAAAACTGTACTGTTGCAGCCTTAAGCATAAGCAGTCAGTTCTATACGTTTATCTGTCCACTCCAGCTGATCAATTAGGTGCGAACATGATTTCTAAAAGATACAAATAGTATCCTTTCAAGTGAGTGAGTGAAACCAACCTAACTCAAAAAGACGATGTTGGTTGCGTCGCATTCTCTCCCGAGGATCATCATCATCATGAAGCTCTCGTTGCCTTCATAGACAACAATATTAGCACAAATTTCAATATGATGAAGTCAGCTATCAAGATCTCTTCACGAGTAATCAGTAATTCAGTAACCTGTCCTGACGGAGTGGTGTGCGTTTGATAGTTTCTTTTAATTGCTTTGTCATTAACTCCATGTATCTTGTTATTGGCCGTTTCTCTGCTCAATCCTTGGCTTTGTAATTGTTCGTGACTGTTCTTATTGATTAATAGATTGGGTCTATGTCTACAAATCTGCTGATTTCTGACTTCAATGTTAAGCTTCCAGGAATTCTCTGATATTCTTTGTGTTTCCCTCATCCAACATTTTCAAAGTTGAATTCATGTTCATATTTTCCCACAAGTATCGATATGAGATGTTATGTTCAGACGTTGAAATGCCAGCTGATGTACATGAAGACAAAGGTGAAGGGCACAATTACTTTCTCCAATTTAATCCTGATCCTAGTCATTGATTTTAGTTGAGTCTTATGGTTGGTATAAGATGGTGTGTACGGAATTCTTTGGTTTATGAACCCCATCACTTCCATATGGCGTTGCTGGATTGTTCCTACTGTAGTTAATGAATTAATCAGTGTGTATTATCTTCCAGTACATCTGAGTTCCCAATTCTCTGACATCTGTTGCATTGACTGAATCATCTGGAGTGAATGTAATGTTAAAAACGTTGCTGATCAAGTTGTCTGTCTGCTAATTCATCTGTTTTAACCGAAACAAAAGTATGATTCATTCAGCGCGTCAATATTTTCAGTTTGACTACCGTTAGAATGATAGCTTCCAGTCTCTACATTACTGGTTTTGAAATCAATCCAGATATCAGTAATTTCACTGCAGCGCCTTCAATCCGTCTGTTTATCTTGGCAAGAAGAGGTGTACGGATGTTGTTAGACAAAGAACCGTGGAGTTCTATCAGACTTAAAAATCAAAGTTATATGCCTTCCGAAAGACTTGCATTGTTAATGAGGAGGAGATATATAGTATCCTAAGTCAGTAGTCGTTCATTTATGACTCCGAAGGACACCATTAATTCATCTTTGTGCATGTGAATGTCTTTAATCCTTCTCGAAAATTCTGTTGACGATTCGACGAATGTTTGCAAGACTCCTTTACAAGGTATTTCAGTCTCGTCAAAGGCCCTCTGAATGCATTGTTGACAAGTCCAAAAGTCGGTCAGCGGAACAGCCAATCAGAAACTATGTACAATGACACAATAATGGAAGGAAACAACCAATCACACACTACTTCATCAGGGCAGGTTACTGACTACCTCACTACTCACAAAAAGATCCTGATAGCTGACCTTATTATACTGAAATTTGTGCTGATGTTGTTGTCTACGAAGACAATGAGAGAGCTTCGTGATGAATTTCATCGACCTCAGAGAACACTATACAACCATCAATAATAATAAGCATAAAACACAGTCAAATTATTACCAATCTGTATGTAGTTAGTTATAAACACCAGTAGATTGGATATTTTTAAGCAGTCAATAGTGGTTTTTCTTTCAAAGTACTACAATACTAAAGTACTGCACAAAATCCTGCTGAAAGTGAACAAAAAATCAATGTATACCCATCAACAACTTACCCTCATACAGAATAAATTGAGAAAGGAGAGGAAATTAAGAATTATGAGATAATTGCCTACTGAGCTAAACCGAATTGCAAAGCTATGAAGAACTGAAATGTTAGGGGTTTTGGAAGTAATAACATTCGATAACTCATCTAGTATCGAATACCATCAGAAAATAGCTGATATTCAATTGAAAATTAGGAATTTTCAAAAGTGTAACTTAAGGGGTGGGGAATGGAATCAGTTAACACTACTGAGGTTTTAGTTGTTCGTCAAGTAGGTACTCTCAGTGAGACCACAAAAGCACGATGCATGGATCAATGATTATATCTTGATTAAAAGACGAAGTCATACTATGTACGATACAGCGAATGGTCATCGCACAAACACACACATAGATGAATGTGATACTACAATCAGATAAATCAACGATTATCAACTGGCAGTGAGATAGCACCATAACATAGGTTAACTTTCCTTTGGATATCCAAAAAGTATCATATTCGACAACAAAAAAAATCAAATTTAGTAACACAATCATTTAATATAGTAATAATCAGTGTGTGTTAGAATATCTTCGTGCAAACACCTTCATTAGCTTATAGTTGATAAGTTTGAAGCTTCCAGCGATGTGCATCCATCGTACTTACCAATGAGTCTTACTTTGTTCCTGATCCATCTACTTCCAGCCATGAGTACGTTAATTATTTTCATTACTTTAAAGATATTGTGAATGTATATAATATATAAACGAAAGTTCTTCAACATTCGTTATCTTCGTATAATTGCTTGTATTATACGGGCGTCGATTGGACCGAATTGATCGGTCTCTATTGGCATATGGGCTCCTGTGCGGATGCTTCGATATTATCTGTGTAGATAATGCTTTGGCGTTTGAAGCGATCGCTCCAGAGTCCGAATCCCAGTGGGAACATCACTCACTGGGAGGCAGGTACATCCAGCTGACGAGGAGTCCCAAATAGGACGAAATGAGCATCCTCGATACCACTGCTAGCCATTATTCATCATTCGTTATCTTCGCCTGAAGTAATAAAGTTTCTGGATATATCACAGTACAGACTATGGTGAAAGATTTTTCAGTCATCAACACAGCATGTACAACAATACAATACAATCACGCTCAGAAAACTTGTTCACATTTGTGTGATAGGCAATGAGGTATACCCATTGTGTGAGGACTAATGATGTCACTACCTGGCTACCAAAATCTCAATAGGTGGAATGGGTTTCGAACACTTGGTTCACTGGTCGATAGTTAACTCTTTAAACTGCGCACACCTATTTCATAGACATCTGCGAACATTACATCTACATTCCTGAAGCCCCAATAAGTACGGCTGGAGTCGAACCTATGACTTACTGTCTGGAAGTTAGTTGGCCTATGCGAATGATTAACAGCTTTTATTTCCGGTGACTAGGATAAATCATTGTTTATCTCAAAGTTAAACAGGCTGTATTGTACTAAAAAATATCACATTATGGTTAGTTTTGAAGTGCATTATATAACTGCGAATCACCATGTCATAACACTAGGTCTCATATAATTGTGTTGAAGCAAGCAGGGACTTGTTCTTCGATACAGAAACTTAGGAAAAATCAAATCAAACTAAATAGGAGTAAATTAAGATTATAAAGAAAAAGTCATAAAATATATTTGCCAATCAAAATCCAATCAAGTCAACAGACATAAAGATAGAACAAGGACGCTAGTCAATGCATAAATCTGGTTTTATTTCACATACTTAAGAGGAATATTCACAATAGAAATAGGTAACATTACTCATTTCACAGGTTATTGTTGGTAGTGTGGAAGACATGTGAATTTCTTACATTTATGTTGCCCATTTTCTACTTCTTATCCAATGTCATCATCATCATCATTATCACAACCATTCTTCTCCTCCTCCTCATCTTCACATTCACCTTCAGAAGATGTTACACTCAAAGCACCATTCATTTTGTCTGTTTCACATTTTGGACAATCACACCAGAATAAATAATTTGCTGATAAGTATTTACGTCTTGTATGACGACCACGAGATTGCAAACACTGGTCTAAATATGATATAGTGATCTCTTCACCTTCATTAATCGATGTCAACGCTACAACAGATAGTTGACTATTTACTCCACTGAAACGGATCACTGCATTCGGTGAACAACTATGATTAATACGACCTGTAAGTCAGAAAAAGGGAAATGAGTTGCACAGTAATATGTTAGAGAATGAACGAAAGTGAACGTATAGAAATCAATTACTTGGTTATAAAGTTACGACACTAAGTGATTCAACATTTCATTGCTTCCCATATCATGTTGGTTGGTGGAAGACCACCACCAAGAAACCGTAGGTTTATATTTTGTGGTAGTTGCATCAGGCCAAACGTATTGCTTGTTGATAAAATCTCAGCTCGGATACAGAAGGTTCGTTTGGCATTTCCCAACTAGCGTCATCTCTGGTATCGACTGGCAAGATACCCAACAAGCATAATCTGCTGAAGTCCCTTCTGTGATGTTATACAGCACTAAGACATGGTCTTTAAAAGCGGTTACAGGCGCTTGATCACAGGTGTCTTTGTAGCATCACTCATGTTTCGTGGAATCACCGTGTGAGCAATGTTGAAGTCAAGAGAAGGGTATTAAGGCAATACAGGCAAGTCGATTGATAAGGTTGTGAACCTTGGTCAACTGAGATGGCTTGGGTATACGTTACGCATGCCTAGTCACTGCCTATCCCGACGTGCAATGCTGCAGGTAGTTGGACTACGTCAGAAGAGGGTTCAGCGTGGTCAGATCAAGATGTGGCACCAGTCGATGAACTCCCTGACTCAGACCGAGCCATGCAAGGAGATGTACACTATCTGCCTAGGGTCCTCGAGACAATAGGTAACATTGGTTGAGAATTCTTGGTGACATGTTTGAAAATCAGTCACAAAGGCGCAGATGCACTCACTCCTTGACGTCTTCTAAAGTTGAGATATTTGCACTAACCTTTATCTTCAGATTGTTTATTTTCCCACACAATTTTGTCCCTTTTGATATCACTCCTTTTCTATCCATCTGTTCTTTGTATACTACTGTGAAGTGTGGCAATTTGAACCGATGCACTTGTGTGTGATGTCCTACGCTGACTTCGTCTGCCCGACAGACGCGGATCATATATAGAGCCTGGTGAGTTGTTGGCATGTGTTCGGTTCCCAGTCTTTTTGTCAAGAACCTCACACCAACTGTCGGGCATACTAAGCTTCGAACTAGTCAACAAGCTTTTATTCTTGCTTTTTTTTCGAAGTGAGAACATAGTTGAAAACCACATAGTTTATCCCTAGTGAATATGCCTAATTCAAATGATAATGGAAACTGTGCTGAGTATACGAATAGGTAAATACATACTTTGATAGTAATAAAGGCCAACTCCTTCATTATCCAAGAATGGGCCAACATGCTTATCCATCGCCTCATATAGTTGATCTAGAACGAGACTGAATTCAGTAGATGTTTGTCCATTCACAGAATTCACTATCTTCCCGGCCTGATTCGCCCAAACACTGAAAGCACTTGTAGCGATACCTTGACCATTACGACTAATGAGGCAGAGAGCAGTTGTAAAGTGATTCTTCTCTAGTAATCCATCTAATCCAGCTTTCTGTAGTACTTCAATGCATCCATCATATGAAGTGGTATTGTTAGACTTTTTACATAGAAACATAAGCACTTCAACAAATACACTATGAATTTGTTCAATACGCGTAACAAACTGTTCACCAAGTATTTGATGGTAAAGAATATCACTTTCACCCTGATTAGTTATTGCGCTTGTACTTGAGACAAATGTTTTCAATGCTTCAACAATATGCAATGAATGTGATGATCCAAGAATACAAGCAGAAAGACAAGCAGCAACAACACGAACAAGTAAGAAGATTGTACCACTTTCTGGGGGATAATGAGATTCTCTCCAGACCAAATCAAGCTTCTCAATTGGATTCTCATCACCTCTTTCTTCATTGGTCCCTATACACATTACAGAGTGATAAGATTGAACGGCTGATTCAAAACACATAGGGGAACAATAATTCACTAGACACTTTGGACAGTGAACAATTTGATTACATTGAAATCCTGCTTCAGGATAAGGTAAAATGAGATTTGGATTATTAGTAAGCCGTCTAGCATTTTCTTCTGATGTTTCAAGTGGACATAAACAATGATCACATGCTCTATACCCGTACAGTTTATTCCATGAAAACTGACAACAAACTAAAGGCTCTTCAGAGAAAAGAATATCTTCAGGATATATACACTGCGCGGCAACAAGACCTCTACCACGAATAGGTCCAAAATCAACTTCTCGTGTGAGATTCATTGAATCGAAATATCCTGGTGGATAAAAATGAAAAGATTACCATTCAATTAGCATGGACTAAAACAGGTAACGTATAAAGTGGATTACTTAGGCGAACATACTAATGTCGATGCTTCAACACCACGGTTTTAGTACCACAAACCTTTATCAACCTCATTCAACAGCAGCTATATACTACATGATGCTACATGTCAAGTAGTTCACAACACAATGGAAAGCTCAATGACGCCTCTGAACTGAAGACAGGAAGAAACAAAACAAGGTTGACGCCCACCATCACCCATGATCTTCCTGATTGTAGTCAACTGGACTGGACTGACTGGACTAGATCATGCAAGAAACTGTGACGAGCTGTGAGAAGATGGGCATACGCTGGCTGTACCGATAAAAAGACCTTAAAACATCTGGATTTCGCCGATGATTATTTATGTCTAATGTCTCGTCGCACAAACTCGAAGATCTACAGACGAAAACTAACAAGTTGACAGAAGGCGAGAGGGAACGAAGACAGAACTTCCTTCAGGTGGACGTAGAGAAGACAGAGATGGTGAAGATACCCAACCAACAACAACAAGCACCAATCACCATCAACGGGAGAAATCTAAAGCAAGTTGTCTCTTTCACCTACCTACCTACCTACCTAGGCAGCATCCATTCAACTACAGACGGCACAGGCACAGAGGAGGACGTCAAAGCCAGGATCGGAAAGACAGCAAGACAGGCCTTCATTAATCTCAAATCAGTGTGGAGACCCACTGCACTCCACTCAGCATCAACAACAAGATTCGGATTTTCAACGCTAATGTCAGTCAAGTTAGTGCTCCCATGTGATAGTTGAGGGACTTGGTGCGTTACGGAAAGCACTTCCAACAAACTACAGATATTCATCAACAGCTGCCGACTACGCTCACTCAAGACTGAAGATCAGATGGCCAGAAAGAATAAGCAACAAGAAACTCTGGCCGGCAACGAACAAACGGAGAACCCATCGCCCAACAAATATGCAGAAAAAGAAAGTGGAGATGGATTGGGCATACACTGAAAAGACGATTCGGGGACACAAGCGCCAGACCCCCGAGTGGAACCTGCATGGGAAACGACGAGTTGGGTGTCCGAGGTGAGGGTGACATGAAGGAGATCGTGTGAGGAAGATTAGAAAGCTTCTGGGCAGTCGTGGAGCCAGGTTGAAAAGATTGTTGAGAAGAGAGTGAAGTGGAGACGTGCTATTGAAGCCCTATGTTCCACTAGGGACCCAAAAGCCATAACAGTAATAATACTAGTGTTGAAGTCATGACAAACACATATAAATAAAGCAAAAATCCTATGAAAATATTTGACAACAGATTCATCTTGTCAACTCTCATGTAGTTTGTAGTATGTAACTTTCATAGTTGTTAGCGTGATTTTATAAATTCAACCATATACTATGGAGAAGGAATTTCAGTTCACTAACGTATGACTTGTGATTGTTGCTATCCTGGTAAGATAAATCTACATCAAACAGTACAGGTGCAGTGTAGAAGGGTGAACCTTGCTTGATAACCAGAATACCTGGATCGTCTAACTGACATTTATAAACAATTTGATTTGCATCAATTATAGGAATAAAACCTTAAGCAACACTTATCTTTATGCATAAGATGAATTAAATTCTTTTCCGCCCATATATATATATATATATATATATATATATATATATATATATATATATATATATATATATTATCGAAAGATTGATGGAGTGTGTCTATGAGAACAACAAGCTAATTAAGATCCATATTTATTGACATATTTATATGTAATTTAGAAAGTAATGCAGTGAAACCAGTTATTGATGATGTCAGACTTTACATAAAATCCATACATGAAGCATTTGTGATTCTAAATCTTTAACAACGCATATCCAAACATTCGTATCCAATTAAAGAAAGAAAAGATGATGTAATTATTGATAGTTAGGATGAATTAACTATCCAATATGTGTTCAATACGTTACAAATGCCGGTTGGTTAGCAATTTAACATGATCAGAAATCCATAAACCCAAGAGACAAAAAACGATTTAATTGGTCTCCAAAATATCTTGAACAATAAACACGCGAGTTACCTGATACATCACAACGACAAGGAGTCGAACCAACCATGTAGATGTTCATGTCTTAAACAATTAGCCATAACGAATGTGTGAAGGCTAGTCATACCATCAGCTTATCTAACCATCAGCAGGTGGGGTGGGGGGCGACAGAGTTTGAGTGCTTCAACAAGTGAGATACAGCTTTAGGGATAAATGGTTGGGGAATCCTGATGATATGGTTCAACAAACGATAACAACGGTGAAGATATATACACTTGTACATCATATCTATCCAGTCTAATAAATGATCTCTCTGTATAACACTATTTGTTCTACACTCCATGGCGAAGTAGTGACAAGTACTTATTGAAAATGTCTCATATTGGAGTTTGCAAACGTGAAGTTTTTGACAAAATGCGTGTATTCGAACAATAAAAGACAAGCTTTGTTTCTTTCTTCAGATATGTCCGAAAAATTTTGATGTCACAAACAATTCATATTCATTTACCAAGTGTTAACTAATCGGCTTAAGATATGCTTGAGTTTTTAAAGTGATAAAGCGTTACAATGCTTGAGTTTTGGCTTGCTTTGTCACATCAAAAGATGTTAAGTGATTGAAGCCTGATTTGTGTTTATATATATAAGGAGAAAATAATTCATAGAGCACGACATTTCCCAGACATCTGCATCGCCAGTTTTCCAGTGTCTTAACTAGATTGGAGAAGATAAATGAACTTGTTTATTAGAAGACTGTAATAGTTAACAATAGAACCTAACTAAGACGCATTCAACGCACTTTGTCCACTCTGCTTGAGAGAAAAACTACCCTGGTCTACCTATTGCTTTGTTTCATTTCTTTCTACAGAACCTATCAATCAATCAATCGATACGACTAGTCATTACCGCACAACGGTCCAAGTTGTCACGTCTCATAACAGCACAACAAGGCAGTAAAATGAAATATAAAGGAAGAAAAATCATTAAGAGCAATATAAAGCGATAAAAGAGAGGAAAGAAGAATGAAGAAAATGTTGAATTCAGCATAGCGATTAAAATAATGTGTGGATACACCAACGCCACTGACATCGATACTGAGCCATGTCACCTAAAGTCGACAACCACTAATTTCTGTTGCCACATAGACCTCAACCAGCTACTTTCCATTTCCCTACGTGGCTCAGATCAACAGTTAACGACTTCATGTAGTGATGAAATTCTTTAGTTTCACCGCTCCTATTTCAGCTAACATTGCGCGACGAGACATGTCTAATACAAGTCCCAGATATCTTAGTCGATGAAGGTTCGCAACCTCATCAATTGATTTTTCTCTTCTCCCTGACTTCTGCGTTAATCACGTGGTGACACCACGACACACAGTCTATGCTATGAAAGCAACGGTGAGCAAACAACAGAAACTTTTTCATGCCCATCCAGAGGGACAGAACGAACTGCAGCACTGTACACTCGACCTTTAATAGGCAATCGTATATCGCAGTGGCGCCCCAGATGACGTGTTGGCAAAAGTTATTTGAGCCTTTCGTATCCATGTATAGATTTCGTTGGCCAATGACCCACGAGGGCTGATCCAACTTCCGGCTAAGTGAAGTGGTCAACGCATTGAATCGCTTCATTCTCTGTTAAACAGGACACTACAGAAGACTAGTCCTGGAGCAACAATTCGTATTTGGGTGGTGAGAGATGCATCCTAGACATTCTTAAATTGCCACACAACGTGTCCAGAAGACTCTGCATCTTCACCTAACAAGACTATGTCATCTGAGTAATCTAGATCTACCACAAAACCTAAACTACTTAAAACCACATCAGTAGCACAAACTATATAATTATTGAATAACTTAACGGCCACAATAATTAATTTAAACTCAGACATTTATTTGAGTTTTGTTTCACTCATTCATCTAACTTTTAACTGTGCATACCTCTCCTCTTAAATCATATTTCCCGGTAAATTACAGGCAGTTTGTAGATGATGAATGGTGGAAACAAATGAAATCACAGCAAACCTTGTTCCCCACTGGATGGCAATAGGCTTACCTTCATTTTAACTTTTATTTCCACCCCTTGTATGTATCAAGTAGAATGTCTTGCTGTAAATCCGTGTTTACTTAAAGAGAGAAAAAACAGGAGTAAATGTTGCCATGTGCGATTTGATTTGCTTGTTATAGCAAATTATCCCACTACTTTGCAAAAACAAAACAAACACAAAACGCATTCAGAGAAACCGGTTACATTTCAAGTTGTCCTTTTTTTATACAAAACAGGAATGAGATTATGAAGAGAGAGAGAAACTTTGCTCTAATTACAAGCACAAAAGATAGCACAGAACTTAATGCAAATTTGAAATTACACGGAATATGTAAGACTTAGATATTAAATAGTCTTCTGAGTAAAAGGTAGTTTCATATGAGAACTTAAAAATACGTTTATTTCCATTAAAAAAACAAATATTAGTCCTTGCCCTACACATATCTTTTCCTTACCATGTGAACACCTGTGATTAAAATTGGGTCATAACTTCTTCAGTTTATTGAGTTTAAAATTATTTGTAACAGAAGTTGTTTCTGGAAGATATGATTTCCAAATAAAAACACATGCACTTAAGAACCATATACTTGGAATACAAGAGAGATTTAAGAAGTGGGTGAAAATTCATGGACTAGATATTAATTCTCTGTCAGATTCTGGTATATGGCTTAATAATATGCCTTAATAACATTTGTTCGTATTGATGTGATCGAGGAGCTAGCTAAGTGGCCATATTGCAAAATGATCGATAGAATCTGATCAGCACTGAGGAATAGACAACATGAGATTGATTGCTCTTAAGTAATCAGTCAGTATATGTAATCCAGTCTTACTTGGGGTCAGTCGTGGTCTGAATAGCTCAGTGGTAACCTCACTGACTGTAATACTGGGTGAC